CATATCTCCAAAAATATGATAACACTATAACGGGTGATGATATGGAATATTATTATCGGTATTATAAAAATGAAATTTTGAAATATCATGATAAAATAATTTCTAAAATTAAAGACAAAATTAAAAATAATGAATATACAAAGGGAAAAACTAAATCACAACTTAAACAATTGAAAGATTTCAAAAATAAAGTATTAACAGAAGAAGATATTGATGAATTATATAATTTATATAATCCTGAGCCGCAAAAGCCAAAGGAACAAAAACAAAAGAAGAAAAAGCCGAAAACAACACCAAAAGAGAAAGTAGCAAATGTTCAACAGCTAAAGGTGCAAAACGCCCAGGTCCTTCAGACCATAAATGATGCACAAGCTTTAATTTATGATTCATTAGTTAAACCATATTCAGCCCGACTTTTAAATGAAGATCAACTTTTGGAATTCATCCTTCAACATATACTCGAAGCGGGAAAGTATATCAAACCTTTATATACAGCATATTTAAAACAAATGAATAGAATACATCCAGAATTAATGAAAGGGGGAATGAAATCCAAAATCAAAGCAGATAAAATTAAACCACTTGCAATACCAAAACCTCCAACAGTAGTACCACCTCCTCCTTCAGTTAATCCTTCATCATTCACTTTATTATATCCATTTCAAACATTAAAGAAGCAAAAAGATTTTAAAAAGGATTTCAAGATATTAAATAAACCAATTGACCCAAAAATTCAACCATTAAAGGAAAAATTTAGTCGACCTTCATTTGCTCCATATCCATATTCATACGAAATCGATCATCTGGAATATTCAAAAGGAAAAGTTACTTATTTATTTGCCATTAACATTAACACTAGATATTTATATTGCATTCCAGTGAAAGGGAAAACAGAACAGGAAACAAGAAGAGCTATTCAATACTTACTAGATCATGAAAGAGTAGATAATATCAGGGGTGATGGTGATAAAGGATTTCAGGCAGCTATGGCTCATTATTTCCCACAAATTAATTTTTACTTTTCATCCTCTCCATATACGTTTCATAATAAAATAGTTGATGCGGTAATGAGAACTCTTAGAGATGCGTTAGGGGTTAATGGTCAGATATACTGGGATGGAAATCATGACTCCATCATACAGCAGTTAGTATATTATTACAATAATACATGGCATAGAACTATAAACATGAAACCAGTGGAAATGAAAAATGATATTTCAAAAGAATGGGAATATATTAGAAAGCAAATGGAAAGGTTAAATGATGTTAAACGTGAACAAATTAATTTGGGGCTCATGAATTTTAAACAAGGGGATAAAGTTTTGATTCATCTCGATTATGGAAAAACTGATAAATCAATGACAAAAAGAAGACGAAGATTTGATACAATAGCTGAATTTGTTAGATATATTAACGGTAATGTATTAGTTGAGGTTAACAATAAATTAATAGAAATTCCGATTTATTTTATTACTCCATTATATTTAAATAATATTTAATTTTTTATTTCGTAAGAAACGAGTGACAACAAAGCAGTCAAGAGTCCTGATTTAATTAAGATTCAGAGTCCTGACGATGAATATAAAAAGAAACTAAACAGAATTAAATCAAAAATATGCTATTACAAAAAGAAGCCGCAATGTGGTGGGGTTGATACCCATAAAACTAATGGAACTGAAAACGATAAAGAAATAATCGAAAAATTAGAAACTTACCGTTCAATCCTTAAACTGAGTGAAGCAAAAATAAAAGAATTTAATAGAATAAATAAATTGGTTGGAAGAGATGAATTTAATAAAGATGAATTTTTAAACTCAATCCAAATTTAATTTTTATTCCTCTTTGACAACATCTCTCTTTCCATCATTACTGCATAACCACATTTTCTCAATTTTAGTGGTTTGTTATTTTTAACATGTTCTTGCATCATTTTTATCATTTCCTCCCTTGTTATGATTCGTGGTAAATTTTGAGCTTGTGGGGTATTCATTTATGATAAAAATAAAAATTTAAATTATGCCGTTCTAAAGTTTGTGACAACATGACATTTTGACAACAGCGTCGGAAATATATTTTTATCGTTAATGGTTTTGTTAATGTTTTCAGGTCATTCAATAATTAATTATTTTTGAAGAACTGAAGGTGTCACCATGTCACCATGTGTCACCAGGTCATTTAACTTTTCTGAAAAAATGTGACAACATGACATTTTGACAACATCACAGGAGGAGGGCAGTTATGACTTATTTTTGAAGAACTGAAGGTGTCACCATGTCACCATGTGTCACCAGGTCATTTAACTTTTCTGAAAAAATGTGACAACATGACATTTTGACAACACAGGTACGAAAAGAGGAAGGCAAAAATAAATTCCAATCATACTTTATAAAGCTTCATTTACAGGTATTTCATCGTCAGTAAATGAATCCTCATTATCGTTTGGTTCAACCTGTTTATATAATCCTTTCATTTCTTCTTTCAAAACATAACACCATGTTTGTTTACCGTCTATTCTTACCTGTTTCCTATCACATTTATCCTTAATACTCATTTGAAAGTTTTTGTCTTTCATGTCTGATGGTTTGCAGAATAGAGCATTTTTACACGTCATACCTGCACACAATTCATCATAATGTGTATTTATCCATACATCTAAAGGATTTGTTGATAATTCAATTAAATCTTGTTTGGCTTCAGTCATCGGTATGATTCGTACATTAAATGATGAAAGGTCATATTGCATAAAATACGTCAGTAAATTATCATAAAATTCCTTTGTGCATGAATCCATCAAATTCTTGAAGTAATCAAATTGACCCTTGAATTTACCATTAACTCTTAAAACTACGTATCTTCTGTCTCCAACTTCAATTTTGACAGGGTAAACGTTATTAGTTACGAAAATGAAGTTTGCAACATTCTGAGCAGTTCTTCTGGGTTGATTCTTTTCATTAATTCTAATCTCATTGTCCGTAATAATTGATTTCAAAGCGTTGAAGTTTGCGAGTCTGTCTTCACCTACATTCTTGAGTTCATTAAGTACAAGAAACATTTTATTTTCAACTACTGAGTTGAAATTACCCGTTAGCTCACCTATTTCAGTAATGTTTTTACATGAATAACCGGCGAGAAGTTCAGAAATAATGTCTGTGAATCTGTTTTTACCTGTTCCCTGAAGTCCTTTCAAAATAATTGCTGTTTCATTCTTGATTCCAGGATGTTGAATCATTGATGCAATCCAGCCGAGAAGGTATTTATACACTTCATCGTTATTATCACAAATGACTTCTTTAATGAAATTCATAAACATCTCAATTTTTGAGTAATCAGGCTTTTCAAGAATGTTGTATTTATAACCCTGAAACGTTGAGAAAACATCTGGAGAATCAGATTTAAAGCAAACACCCTTAACGGTTAATGAAGACAATTGATTTAGTAGTACATCCCATGATGTTATTGTTTTACCTTCTTCTTTAAATAATTTAATCATTTTGAGTGACTCTTTCATGTTTGACTGAAGAACAAATGATATTTGATTCATTTTGTCATGTATGTTGTAATCTTTCTGAATGAAGTATTTGTTTCCACAATCTACAAAACGGATTACACGTGATAAATCCTCAATTACTTCAGAACTGTTTTTATACTGATGATTTTCAGCCTTGCGTCTAATATCTGTTATCAAAAACGAGTCATCAAGTTTGATATCAAATGTTATTTTTGGCTTACGTAATAAAGGTAAAACATATTCATCATAATATTCCTTTTGATAAAGTTTTAGAATCTTCACCAAAACAAATGGAGAAGTCATTAAATGTGCATATCTACTACGTGCTTTTTCAAAATTACTTTTTGCATTTTCTGTTAAGCTGCAGAAGTTATAAACGTTATCGTATGCTTCATTAATCAAATGATTAGGTAACGAATTAATTGCTTGAAACAGTGTGAATAATGTTATTTCTTTTTCTAAATTCATGTTTCCACCATCATTATGTACTTCAAAATCACAGATGCCATCAACTATGCTTTGAGCTAGTTTATCGTCAATGTTTACATCTTTGTTTTCATTCATTATACTCTTTATTTCTTCGTTCTTCTGTTCAACTCTTACCTTAATATTCAAATCATTTAATATATCATTCACTGTTCTAGTTAATGTTGAATCATAACTTCCACGAATGAATGAGTATGTATTGATTGGTTCTGTTGCATTCTTTCGAACTCTTGAATCAGCCATAACTACTAATGAACGCTTTGAATCATCCATAGAAGTCATTATGTCAATATCATAATCATTGCAGGAATAACATTTAATCATTCTGTTCGAAACTGCATAGAAGAAATTAGTGTTGCAATAAATGTGAAGACCTCCTGATGCGGTTTTAACGATAACATCTTTATCCGAAAGTTTTGATAAAATATCTTTTCTAACTGTTTCTTTAAGTTCATCATTGTATGATTTATTGATATCAACATCTATAATCGTTAAATTTGAAATTTTATTTACTAATAAAGCCACACCAGTTTTCCTTCCTCTTCCTCCATCATGTTTGAGGTAGTTATGTAAATCAATCTTGTTTTCACCAATTCTTTCGTTGAGGGTTTTAGTTTCTGTCACAACTAATTCCTCAGCTAATGAATCAATAACTTGTTCATCAGAAACGATATAGTTGTTGTTGTTGTTGTTTGTTGCTGTCATTTATATAGGAATAAAAAAAATAAAAATAATTTTAAAACTAACTTTATTTTTGGGCTGCATCAAATTTTCGTAAATGTTGTCAAAATGTCATGTTGTCACATTTTTTCAGAAAAGTTAAATGACCTGGTGACACATGGTGACATGGTGACACCTTCAGTTCTTCAAAAATAATTAATTATTGAATGACCTGAAAACATTAACAAAACCATTAACGTAAACATTAACGTAAACATTTATTTCTGTAGTTCATCCATTACTTCATTACCTAATTAATTACAGACATAAAATATATTTAGTTCATTCAATAAACACGGTACCATGCGTAAACTGTCATGTAAGGTGGCATGTAGTCTTTACTTTGTCCCGTTGTTTGCGTATATCCCGAAACGCGATGTGTATGGTTTCCTCCTCCCTCAGTGTTACTCCAGTAACAATTTATAGCAAACTTAACGTTGTCTTTAACATCATATCCTTTACCTTTTGTCATTGCTGACCAATCCCAATATCTATGCTTATGCCAACCTGCTTGAGATGTACTTAAATCTATGTAGTGACTATGTGCAGGTAAATTTTCACCTGAAATCGTTTTACTTCCACCTGTTTCCTTTGAAGAGTTTGCACAATACAAAAACCTGCCGACTATTTGAGTCCAAGTTCCAAAACCGAGTACTACTTCTGGTCTGGTAGAGTTCATTGACGTATAAATAGAGCCTATAGGATATAATGTTTGAAGTATTTCTGTCTTTAATGTTTGAAGTATTTCTGTCTTTAATGTTTGAAGTATTTCTGTCTTTAATGTTTGAAGCTCTGTTTTGTCTGCTTTCTTGTCATATAAATCTTGAGCAGTGAATTTAATATTATGTTCATCCTTCATGACATAAACATCTTTACATCTAATGTTTCTCATCGTCGTTATGTCGTCATCCGATGTTAAACCTTGTGGAAAGTTAGGAGGTTTACAATATAATGCATCCCCACCAGTTTCTTCAACCGTTCCTTCAATACTTTCTATAGCAACAGTTGTAAAACTTGTATGTGTATGGTTCTTATCTGCTTTCTTCATTAACTCACTATCCACATATTCCTTATCTGCTTTCTTCATTATGTCATTTAGGAAACCTTCTATGAATTCCTCATTTAAATTAAATCTTCCAATCTTCAAAACTTTAGGAAATGCATTTAATGCGTAATATCTTTGTTCTTCTGGTGGAATTGATGTTATATCATCCGTTATACCTTTAATTTTTGAATTCATAAATAAAATTTCTTTTATATTTGATATCACCGCACCACCTTTGCAAACGAATTCGAAATGGTCATTTTTCAATACTATCTCCAAATCTCCATATTTCAACCTTTGCGTTTGTTCTGCCGTCTTTGAATTATATGCATATATGGCGTATGTAATGGTCTGTGCCTTAAGTTGTTGTGGTTGCTGTTGTTTAATCATTTATTATGATTAAAAAATAAATATTTAATCCGTTATCTCATCAGCTATTTTTTCTATTTGAAATTGCCATAATATTTCATTCATGAATTCTAAATCACAATCAATAGGTCAGTTACTCTAAATTTAATATTTGATAAATCTTTTGAATGAAGAATAAATGAATTCCCGATAATTGAAACGGATATGATAAAGAAAATATGTTTAAGTTGATGGATAAAATGTTTTGTATTGATGGGTAAGAGTTAGGGTCTAATGTTTGATGTGAAAATCTCATTGGGGTATTAACTTTATCACATTTGATTAAAATGAAATTGGAACCAGTGTCAGAATACAAAACATCCCCAACATCTTTTTCAAAATTTAATATCCCCAACAATGAACGAAGATGAGGAGTACAAAATTTAATTTTCAGCGGAAATTTAATAAGGTTATTTATTTCATCAAGTTCAAAAAGTTTATCAGGTTTTGATTTAAAATTTTCTTTATACCATACGATAAATGATTCATTTAAATAACTTAAAATCGTGTTAATATCCCATTTCGCTATCACATTATTTATATACATATCATACGTTTTTTCATGTCATCTTTAATAAATGATATATAATCTGAAGGTCTAAAAGAATGGGATTAAATTTACCACTCACAGAAACGAGAGTAACATTATAAATTCCGCTAACTGTTAAATTTAATTCACAGTTATTATCGAAATAATATTGATAATTGACATTTTTATTACGATTAAAAATATGGTAAAGCGTTATTTTCCAGTGATAAATAAAACTAGAATAAGATTACCTCAAGAATTCATAAATTCAACGAATAAGAAATTCATTCATGTTATAAATTTTAGTGTTTTCAGAAAATATGAGTCGATGTCATATTCATCATCGGGTTATATTTCACTTCATTCAAATTTAGTTCAATCAAATCCATATAATGACCATTTCATAAGATTTTCAGATGTATTAAAAATGTAATTGATAGATTAAAATATGAACAGATTGACAATATCGAATTTTTGGAATTTTGGTTTAAAATCCCGATGGAAAAAAGATTGAGTTAAAGATAAAGCTGATACTATAAAAAAACAATTACAATGACCGATCCGGATAGTGGGGAACAAAAAGAAATAAAACAAACGATAGAAACTGTGAAAGGTCAATTATTATTGATTATGATTCAAAGATTATTATTCGATAATGTTAATGCTTGAATATTAAAAGCCTTAACAAAGAATTTTTCAAGTGATATTTTATATCATCAACTATTTTATTAAAATATCATTATATGTTAAAATGAAGTTCAGTTGTTGTTCCATTCTTTGTTATCTTAATTGTGCTAATATCCTTTATAGGATTATTTTTGCAACTGTTCCGCAGCATGAAACCTCATCATCTATGAAAAATTGAATCTTAACATCCGAATCTTGAACATCACAAAGAATGGCGATAATGTGAATTAATGATTATAAGGTAAAATAATTAAACCGGATTGGTCAATTAAATTTATTATGAATCATAATTATAATTATTATATCACGGTAAATTTTCATAATTCAGAATTAATGTCTACTTTATATGGCGCATTGCGACTGGAATCGTAGATTCCTGGGTTTCGATGTTATGAAAGAGGTGGGGGTATTGTTGGATAAGTGGGAATTTCAACGGGTTCTTTACCAGGTTCAGATAAAATGATTGGGTCTTCATTTCTTTATTTTGCTCCTCCTCTTTCTTGGTAAGTCACGAGTTAATAAATTTGGTTGAGTTGCTGACCTTGTTAATTCGGGGCTAACATTAACTTTAACATTTTGAATAATTCGTGATTTATCATCATTTACGTTATAACAACCGTAATCTCTGCTTTGCTTAGTGTTCTTTTGACTAGTGAAACGTCTTTCTCATTTATAATTGAATAAAAAAAGAAAAATATATTTAAAGTTTATTAGTTGTACGGTAATATCCCAAGGTTCATCATTGTTTGCTTATACTTTCTTTGTAACTACACCAATTATGTTATTGATATTGCTTTGAGTTTCTTCCAGTCTTATTTTATCATTTAAATATCTTTAATCATTTCATTACATGCATCTAAAACCATCTGATTTTTCTAATTTACGTCTATCACTTTCTTTAATTAAATCAAAGTTATAACCTTGTTGAGAATAAAGTGGTTTCTTTATCAATTCCTTGAACGCTTCTGAAAGTGAAGATGAAGAAATTCTTGCCACTTGAATTGGTTTAAATTCTGCTTTCATTGCTTCTTTCTGTTCATTGAACACTGGATCGAATAAAGCAACTTTAAAGAATTTCTTAGCTGGAATTTCAGGTCTCAAATTGCATATTGACCATCAAACTGATTAACATATCGTGTAATCCATCTGTCCCTCTTCAATAGCATTAATTCTTCATTGAAATAAGAATATGGATTAACGGTATGAATTAATTGGACCATGTTCACCTTCTCCAATGTATTGTTTAACAGCTTTTCCATTTTCATCAAATTGCATAGGATAACGTTCATTATATGCTTTACGTTTAGGATAATCCGTCATTGTTAATTTATACCCATTTATGACTTTAATATTACCTTGACCATCAGTAACGAAAACTTCATTTATACCATCAGGTTTCCATTTGGACCCGTAATGTCTGCTTCGTGTGCTTCCCAATTTGGACCATGACGTTTGGCATATGCTTGAGCTTCTGGTAATGTTAAAACGTTTCTCATTTGTTTAACATCCTTGAAGACCAGCAACAATGTGACTAATTCTTTCATTCCATCAGAACTTTCATAGTTCTATTATATGGACCCTTTTTGTTTTGTCCCTTGTTTTAATGGAACCTGTAGAAGATTTGCAATTTCTGTCATGTTTAATTATAAAAAAAAAAATAAAAATTAATTATAAAAAGTTAATCAAATTTAACACCTCCTTTATTTAAATCAACTATTATTTTCCATGTTCTCCTAATTGTTGATATTGTGTGTAAAGTTCATTAATGCTCATTGGTAAATTCACTTGATAAAGCATAACGTTCAACTGTTGACGACTAACCCACTGAAATGAAAAGTGTTGATAGATTTGATTTAATGTTTGTGCTTAATGCTTTGAAGTATTGAACAGCATGAAGAATGAACACTGAATGTGTCGACATTGAGTTAATAACTGATTAAATATGATTCTCATTAGTTATTAGTTTTGATTTCACGGCATCATCTAGAAAAATGAGTGAATGCAAAAATTCTCTATCAAAATTTGAAATAGAAAGTGTTTCAAATAATTCATACCGTTGTTTATCAATAATTTATCCTCTAATCCTTGCTTCTTGATTGTATTATATAATTCTTTATACATTAAAAAAGTTTTTTAAATAATCTTCTGCTTCTTCTTGTGATAAATAAATAATTGGAATTTTGATTAAATGCTTTAAAGACTCAAATGTATCATCTGAAGGTGAACCTGAACGGTTGATATAAATAACACATGTGAATAGGGAAGTGTTAGCAATAATGATAATTTGTTTTAATATCGTTAATGTTTTACCTTTATTTTGTTTACCAATTGCTGCAGTGATTGAATTTAAGTAACATTCAGAATATGGAATTTTCATTAATTTTTCCTTAGATAGAGCATTTCTATTATCACTCAATGGCTTCATTAATCATATCATCTACGTATGTATTATATACTCCCGCTAATTCTTCATAAGGGTGATGAATTGAAATCCATTTAATCAAAAATAAATTTATAATTTTAAACATTTCTATTCATCAATATTTCATCATATGAACTTCTATACTGTGGTGGTGTACACTGTTGGAATATTTCAAACCTTCGTCCGTGTCCATGTCCAATATGTAGTCCTAGTAAAACCAAATGAGGAGGATTTGTCACCTTTGAACAGTAAGTGTCATTTTCACCCTGAATGATTGGATAAGCTTTCACTTGTACTGTAACTTGTGAGTTGAAAGTTTCTAATCATCAAAGAATATAACCCGCTCCATCACGTTGAACTGGAATAGTGCATAAGAATGAAGTTTGGTCTTTCCATGTTCTAGCTAATGGCTTGCCATCATCATCATTCAGTGGTCTAGTTAATGAGTCTCGTATTCTTCTGTGCATTCATTCACTCCATCTAAATCAGAAGCTTGAAGCATACTGTAAAGAATATGTCGCCCACTGTGGTCATCGCTTGATCGGGGAAGTTTCTGGAATCTATAGTGACCTGAAGACCTCGAAGCATTGGATTTTCTAAAACTGTTCTTTGCATTGCATTCTTCGGAAATGTTAACACAACATCTGTAACATTATGAAGAGCGTATGAGAAATCCGAGCTAATACTTCAGGAGTGATGCAACCTCCATTTAGTGACACGAACGTCAATATGTTGAGCTGGAATCATGAATGGATCTTCCTTACTGAATAAACGTGGTATTGCTTAATACTGATTCTTCAATTAAACCGTATCCTGGTGTAATGCATTTATCCTCTAAAAACTTCCATCTTTGTGCATGAAATAATAACACTATCAACTGTTGCGTCAGCAGATGTAGCGGCTAAGCTTGTAATTAATTTGGTAGGAAGTCCAATTTGTTGGAATTTGCGATCATATTTATAAACATGATTCAAATCTTTTCATAATTTTCATCAGTTATCTTTTCATAAACGTAATTTTAAATCAGCAACTCTTAACGGGTCAACCTGACAAAATACTAAAAGTATCCCTGAAACATAATATTTAAGAATGATTTCACCAAATGATTTAGGATAATCATCGAACGCCTGAAATGCTAACAAATCATTTACCGGAATAATCATATCAAAAGTGACATTCAACTTCTTCATTTGCTTCTTGAAAACTTCTGAAGGGTCAATATATTTACCACATACTGAGTTATCATATTTTTGAACATTATTATATAACGAATGAACAAACTTTTTAACTTTCCTTTCTGATTTTGGTTTATATGTTGCAAATGCGAAAGATTCACGCGCAATCCATTTGAAGATAACCAGCATCACCTCTTTCGGTTTCTACTTCTAATTGTTTAAAGCTTTGATTTGATGATTTGTAACCAACGAATAAACGCATACATTTAAAAGCGTCATCACATGTGAAAGCTTTATTTGAAATTAACGTAGCTTTAACCTTGCGTTTAATATATGTGTCACCTAATTGATTCACATCATGAGCCGGATTTGTAATTCTTAAATGATTTGTTTTCATCAAAATATGGAGCATCAGAGTCATAGCATGAACTTTCAAGTTCTCTATAATATCTTCTACCGTCATTCTTTGCGAATATTTCATTTATCTTTTCGAATGAATGAAACACATTTCCATTAATCGGTTTAGTGTTTGGCACCAAATAGTTAGTCGTCATTTATTATTAAATAAAAAATCAAAATTAAAAGATGAAAATGAATTTTTAATTTTAATGAAATAATCAACTATGGCTGCAGGTATATTTAAGAAATTATGGGATAGAGTAAAAAGAGGAGCGCATAAAGTTTGGGAAACAATGAAGAAAGGAGCAAATTGGATATTTAAGAATAAAGAAGCAATTAGTGACATTGCTGAATCAATAACGCCAAAAGCCGCCCCAATAAGAGAAATATTAAATAAAGGAGAAAAAGTTTATCAAAGACTTCAACCGATACTAAGATAAAAATAATATTTATTTTTCAACTATTTACCTCCTATTTTATTAAGTATTCCTTCAGCAATTCCACCAATTGCGTTACCTGCTTGTGCTCCCATTGCCGGATTACCTGCTTTAGTACCTAATACTCCACCTATGATAGTTCCTGCCGTTTTCGCTACTGGTGCCAAAAAGTTTGCAACGGGTTTAATAATATTTTTATGAACCCAACCTGCAGCTTTCTTAATTCCATCCCATAATTTTTTAAAGAATCCTGCCGCCATTTCTGATTTAATATTAATTAAAAAATATATTTCATCACTTATATTCTAATTTTTATTTAATGATAAATGAAACCGATTTTAAAAATAAATGAAACAGAGGAGGAAGAAATAAATGAAAGTGAAAATGTTCAACAAAAAATAAATGTTGTTAAACCAATTACTGAAATAAAAATTTTTTCATCTGTTGAAGAATTTAATGACTATTATGCTAACAATAAAAAATTATTTGAAGAATTGACAACGTGTAAATTGAATAAAATGTTTAAAGTTGATGGATTCAAAATTTCAAAAATAAAGGGGGTGGTTAGTTTGAAATCTATTCCTCAATCAAGAATCACCTCATTAATGAAAATAGATGATTTAACAAAAAGAATAGAAGAGATTGAAGAAAGAATAAATCAAATAATTGATTTCATAAATCATTCAAAAATGTAAGACATGAATTTTTAAAGTTTATTTTTTTTTATTTTCCATTTCATTATTTTCAATTTCTTCTTCTCGTTTATGAGGTCTTTGATTATGACTCCATTGATTCCATGAAATTAAATATTCTTTATCATTATATTTATACCTCATTAGCTTATTTTGGCTTTCATACTCATTTAATAATTCACAATCTTCATTTTTAAATTGAAGTTTAACCCATTCAGGATTTAAACAATGTTTAATTAATCGCGGAATATCTGACATCATCTATATATAGCTTCTTTTATAAAAGATGAAAAAATAAATTATTTTAAAATTAATGTTAATTTTTTAAATGATTTATAAATAAATATATTTTAATGTATCGTCTATATATAGATGTAACAAAAAAAGTCACAAAACCCGTCATATACTACTACTGATGATGAATTTCACGAAAATTTCTAACCAGACGAGTAGGTGACAAAAGTGCATACTCTTAAATTAACCTTAAATGTTGATTTTTCGATATTTTCGGTATTAACCTTATTGTAAATTTTTCCGGTGATAAATTTATCACACTGAGGTTATTTTTCCGGTGAGATTTTTAACCTTGATTTAATGAAATTAATATATATAAATTTTATTATTTTTAATTTCGAATGAGTATAATAAAATATTTTTTTATATCGTCATAACTCTCATCACTGTTGTGATTCCAAATGCGATTATTAAGTTTCAAGTCGCTAATGTTTTGAATGAAGATAGAGCAGTAAGAATTCTTACAAGGGCAGGTAATCAGATTGTTGAGCAAAGAGCTTCAAAACACGATGAATGTTTGAAATTAATTCAACACATTTTGGAAATTGTCGAAAGCCGAAGGATTGAACCTAATGTCCTTATTCCATCTTTGAAGGCAATATTAAATTGGGCACAAAGAAGTTTAAAGGAAGAGTAAGCAAGATTAGATAATTTGGACTTTTTTTAAAATTAATGAATAAACAGTATATTTTTGAAGTGTAAGCTTATTTACCTGAAGCTATATTACTTAATATAACATTCAAAGTATTATTGCTATTTATTGGAGAACAAATTTATGTAATTTTCACATGAAATTGATAAATTTGTATTTCCTTATGATAATCAATTTTTGTATTTGTAGAGAGTCTCCCTGCATGATATCAAGACTTGGCTATAAGTCTTTATCCATTTTTGAAAATTGTATTGTAAATTGTAAGAATTTCTGAATACTACTACTATAAAATATAATTGCTTATCTATGTATATTCTCCCTGCATGATATCAAGACTTGGCTATAAGTTTCTATTCATTATGAGTATGACCCCATTTTTTTACAAAAAGTGCCGAATTGCAACTTTGTCCCAATCTCCTAACCAGACTATGTTCTAGTCGGGTTAACCTTTTGGTTTACGACTAAATAGCTCAATATATTAATCCAAGAAATAACAAACCCTCCAATTTATATTTGTTCCGGAGATTCAAAGCCCACTTTGGAATACGGAAGCAAAAATCGCTAAGTTTATTAGAGATTTTTATTCATATACAACTAAACATTCTATTTATCTCAACTATAAAGCAAAAATTTTTGAAGATTTTAATTGTGACCCTGAAGAATTTGGTCATAAATGGAGATTTCACAACAGGCAGTGACAAGGATTGAGAACGATCCAGTTGCATACTTCAACGAAATACCACATGACATCGTGTTCAGCCTTTTTAAGGATCCATGCTCCCAACAGAATCAAGAACATGGAATCTATTTTGCCATTGATGCTCTATATTTGTTCATTGTTGAGAACTTTACAGGACCATCAATCAAAGATAAGCTTGATGAGCAACTTTTGAGCAAAATCAGTTCATATTTGCCTGCTGATTATATTGATGACATCAATGTCGATGGCGAAATGATATCAACACAAGCTAAACTCATAGAACTCATTTGGATTGCTTACAAATTTACACAGAAATTCGATGCACCAAAAATTTGGATTGCTCGTGCAGCGATGATTCTTCAACGTTGCTTACCAAATCCAACACCAATTCTTAAATATCTTGTTTTACCAAATGCTTCAGGCATTGAACTCCCAATAGCACACCGTTTGTTCCATAACTATCAAAAATTCTTCGAAGAGCTTGACAAGTACAGAGAAACGATCAAATTCGAGTTCAAACTTACAGGTAAGCTCGGTAAGAAGACAAAATTCCAACAAGAATCCAAATCACAATTCATTCTTGAAGTTCAGAGCTGCCAATCGATCAGAGATGATTCTGTTAAGGCTCAAGGTAACAGTATAACATCAATGACACGCTACAAACGTGAAGTTGCCCTTGAAGAAGATGCAAATTTATTAGATCGACCAAACATGGATGAAGAGTTCTCAATTCCATCATTGACAACAGAAGAGATGGCATTCCTTATCCAAGAAGCCCGCGCAATCACAGAACGCAATCTTGGTGATGAAATTCGTGATGAAAAAGCCATGCCAATTTTAACAACAATTTTGCAACTCGAACCAAAGTATTCCTTCGCAACAGCAGCCTTATTCGATAAGAGCAGGCTCGAGCAGCACGAACACTCCCTCCAACCACGTGCAGCTCTCCAGTTGCAGTCTATCATCGATGATTTTGCAAAAGACGAAGTTTCTGTTTCCGATCGTCTTTCTGAATTTTTCATGCTCGAACATCCACCTTTGTGGGAAGTTAAGCGTGAAATGGGTCTCCAAATGATGAATATCGGTGCTGCCAGAACAGCTGCTCAGATCTTTATCGATAACAAGATGTGGGATGAACTCGCAATTTGCTGTGTAATTGCCAAAGACAATGACATGGGTATTGATGTCCTCAAGAACGAGAAACCAACACCACAAGTACTTACAATTCTCGGTGAATTGAAGAAGGACAAATCATTACTTGAAGAAGCATGGAAACTTTCAAGACAACACTATTCAAGAGCACAAAGATCTCTTGCTGATTTCTATCTCGCAGACAAAGATTATCAAAAGGCTGCAGAACATTATGAAATCGCTTTGAAGATCAATCCATTGTTCCCTCAATGTTGGCATTCTCTTGGCTGCTGTTTCATGAGATTAGAAAACTTTGAGAAAGCAATTTCTTCTTTCCAAGAAGTTATTTCTCAAAAAGGTGATGATTCCGAGTGTTTCTCGAACTTGGCAATTTGTTTCTCAACAATTGGAAAGAATGATGAAGCTCACAAGGCAATTACACAAGCTGTAAGATTCCAGAGAGAAAACATCAAGATCTGGGAAAACTTCATCGTTATTTCTATCAATGCTGGAAAAGTTAATGACGCAATCACAGGAATTGAAGAAGTTTCGAGAGTTGAAAGGAAATGGTGCAATACTCCTTTGATTTACGAAGTAATCAACTTCGTTTTGAAAGAGAAAGGAGACATGAAAAGAGTAATCAACGCCATGGAAAAGATTTCTCAAAATGCTGATTGCGGATTCGATTTCTGGACAATTTACGCTGATATCGCTGCTGCAATGGAAGATTTCAAATCAGAACTTGAAATGAGAGCTAATGTTATCAAAGCTCTTGAAGGCGATGAGAAGATTATGGATGAAACTGTGTTCAACAGATTGTCAAAGGCAGTCGAGAAATATGTTGCTGCTGCTACAAGAAAAGAAAATGGAAAGGAAAAGACTGCAATTACAAGACTTAAAGTAATTCTCAGAAAATACGAAGATAACTTCGCTACCCTTGAATCATATAAGAAATTAGAACAATTGTTGGAAGACTTGCAATCAAATATATAACATGAATAAAAATATTTATCATTTTTATTTTTCAATTTCTTTTTTATGAGTTTTAATAAGCTTTCTACAACTAAAAATCTTTTAATTTTTATGAAAGTGGACAAATTATACTATAATTCATATACAAATTTGGATATTTTTTTAATGAAATTTAAATTTTTTCTTTTTTTAACAATTTTAATGTTTTCTTTTGAGATTTTCAGTGAATACAATGCTTGTAAACAATACTTACTAAAATTTTCAAATCATAAATTTATCATCTAAAAGATTAATGATAAAAAGAGGTTTGTATAGTAAGTTACATTTTGTTAAATTTTATTTATAATCTTGAACATAGAAATTTAGGTAGATTTAGGTGTTTGAGGAACTTTTTGACCGTTTTCGCTATCATCAACTTTATTTTCATCGAAATAATCTCTCCGCACTGATTGGTCATCAAGAGCCGGATCTAATTGATAGTTATGGTTGCTCTCATCATCTGGAATATAATTTCCGATGAGTTGACCGCCAGGAATTTCAAATTCACCATAAACTGTATCACCACCAGCATATGATGCTTCAAGACACTCGAATTCATCGATGCCTCTTGCACTCCAAGGAGATTTGAGTTTTTTAACTTTTTCGTTAACAGTATCTATTGGAATAAGAGAGTCAGTAACCTTAAGAGCCTTTTCAAGACGTGTTTTCTCTGGTCCTGTAAGATCTGGTGGTGGAAATGGCGTAACTTTATTATCTCCGTTTGCGATTGCTTCTTCTGTATATTTCTTGATGATAGCAGCAATAACTGGTAAAAGCATTGTCTTTTCTTTAATAGCTATTGTAATAAATGGCTTATTATCTATAATTAAATAAGGCAGTTCGTGTTCACGCTCATGAACAAGAACTGCAAATGCTTCTCTGTTACCACTGACTAAAACTTCAATAAGTGGATGTGATTGGCCACGATTGAAGATAGCTCCAGAATCTAGCAAAAGTTTGATAGCTTCTGGATAGCCTTTACGAGAAGCAATTGCAAGAAGACTGCGTTTTCCTACAACTACGTTCGGATCCGCATGGAAATCAAGTAATAAACGCATAGAACGGATATCACCACGTTCGACAGCGAAATATAATGGAACACGACCTCCACTATCTGCAGCATCCTGATTAGCACCAGCTTTAAGTAATGGTGCTGCAAGATGAAGAAATCCTTTCCAAATTGCGATGTGTAAAGGTGTTAATTCTTGCTTATTTTTAATATTTACGTCTGCTTTTCTGCTGATGAGCTCAACTAATGCTGGATAATTGCAGTAATTTATGCAGGAATGAAGAAGAGAGTCTCCTGTATTTGGATCTTGAAAATTAATATCATAAAAAACATTTAAATGATCAATAAAATCGAAGGGGTCGCCATTTTGTATATCAGCAACAAGTTTAGTGAATCGCTCCGGAACTACAAACTTAACAGTCATTGATTTTTTCCCCTTCTTCTTTGAATTTTTTTTTCATAACGGCAATCAGTTATTTTCGTTTTATTGCATATGTATGATAGACAGATCCTGGAAAATAAAAATATTCCAGAATATTAGCATAAATGCATAGATTAAAACCCGGAATAATTTAAATTTAGTTCTTAGATTTAACAAACTCTGTATATATATTCACTCATGATGTAGTTTTTAAATATACAATGATTCTGACTTATACAATATATTTTTATGGTGATTTGAGATTTAATATTCTAGAATTGAATTAACAGATCATAACCATATCAGGTCAACTCAAAATCTCTATAAATCTTAACTATCCGCTGTGTACAATGGCGTTTGCGAACAATTTGATACCAACAATTTTTCTTATTATACTGCAATTCGGTACCAACAATTTTTCCACAATCCGCTATCGTCAATCACAGTAATCTATAAAAAGTCAAAAAATTATGAACTAAAAAAAATTAAGACCGTACTTACACCCATCTGACAACTGGTGTGAAGTGCCATTGAAAATTAGCCTTAAACATACGAATTGAAGGCCATGTCATAGGGCGTGAGCGCATCCTTAATTTGGCAAAACAGAAATACCCTTAAATTTTTGTTATTGGACAAAAAAGTGACACCAAATCACACTTGTTTGTTGGATCTTACCATTCCAGATAAATATAGCAACTTGATTTTATGAAATTAGATAGATATATATGTGTACTTTTATCCCGTGTTGTTTTCTCGAAAACCTAATATCCTATGGGGATGCTGATTTTGAGCTTGTGTAAAAGTCAAATGTCAATTATATGGCAATATTCTACCATATGTGGTGATGATATTTCAATATGTGTCTTTGTTAAAATTAAAAGTTTGAGATGAAATCAGCCTTATTTTATTTTGATGTGGTATTATTTTTTGTTCTCTATGATGCATTATAATAACATATTAGGAATAAATGCCAACTATTGATTTTCTTGAGAGTTTGGCACAAATCACGTCAAAAGATTATTGATGTCTGGCACGATCATGAGTTGTGCTTTTTTTGGCTTGTCGGGGTATTTTGCCTAATGGTTAGAACAGAATGGCTATGCGTTGTCGATAATCATAAATAATTTATTTGGCGCTATATTGTTTATCTAATTTGCAACTATATATTCAGGGGCTAAGACGGTTTATAGGAATAATGCACATAATGAGAAGGCTAGAAGTCGTGATTTTTTGGCGTATTACAAAAAAATCCTATAAAGAATCATATTTGAGCCATATTTTTAAATGCAATGATATAGTTATGGAATTTATATCCAGAATATATAAAGTAATATGAAATTGAGACTGAATAAAAAAAAATATAAAAAAAATTAAAGGAAATTAAGTAAAAATATGTTTGACATTTATCAAATATAGGTAGAAAATGTGGTGGTACATTTATTATCAAAAAATAGGGTTAAAATTTTTGAATAAAAAAATATTCGATTAGAACAAATTATAAAGTGAAAATATAAATCTTACTTAAGAAGATTAATGATTGGTGATATAAAATGCTAAATTTTAAGAGAAGCAAAATAAAAAATAAGCGATCTTATATTATTATTAAGAAAACAAACAATAATCTTTTTGGCATAATGGGATGGTCTGTATGCCAAGATTAAATGGATTGAGTTCGAATCAGGACAGTATTTTTTTTGATTTTCGCATTTGATACTCATAATATGAAAATGTGATAAAATTAATGATATATTTATAAGGTAGATTTCAAATATATAAATATCAAAGAAAATGACAAACTTTTTTCTTATTTTTTTTTATTTTAACAATAAATTACTCAATTTCGATCAAACAAATGGTTTTATTTGTCTTAATATTCAAATATATATATGAATGCCGATAATGTGGTCGAGATGAACGGTTAGAGGCGGTTTAAAAATGTATTGCCTGCTAGCAAGATGTTACAGCTTGAAGCCGGTTGGGTTCCGAATCTTCGCCTCCTGAGATCTCACGAAGATCGCCCAATTCAGAAAAACGCCTCCCCTTGGTGCGCTTGAGCTGTCTGCATAGTTAGCAGATCATTTTGTTTTTTGCTTTAGGTTGTTAGCGAGCTTTAAATTGTTAGATCATTGATGCAATGCGTATGAAAATATTCATGCATTAGACAAGAACTTTCTTAATTTGAAAGTAGTATGCAGGAATAGATCGAACAATTTAATAAATTAGTGGGATCCACCTATAAAGTTCTAATGTTGGAAGTGATTCCCATTGGATTAATCGCAAAATGGGGTACTGTTCCGGAATTGGGTTCAGATAGCGGTATTTTGACCGACAAGAGTGTAATATGCACTCCTGTCGGTCACAATGTGTCATTCAGGGAGACATTGCCACTGCATGTCTCTCAGAATGAGACAATTTGTTGCAATCAGAATGTGATTGCAAAAGTTTGACCGACAAGAGTGTAATATGCACTCCTGTCGGTCACAATGTGTCATTCAGGGAGACATTGCCACTGCATGTCTCTCAGAATGAGACAATTTGTTGCAATCAGAATGTGATTGCAAAAGTTTGACCGACAAGAGTGTAATATGCACTCCTGTCGGTCACAATGTGTCATTCAGGGAGACATTACCACTGCATGTCTCTCAGAATGAGACAATTTGTTGCAATCAGAATGTGATTGCAAAAGTTTGACCGACAAGAGTGTAATATGCACTCCTGTCGGTCACAATGTGTCATTCAGGGAGACATTGCCACTGCATGTCTCTCAGAATGAGACAATTTGTTGCAATCAGAATGTGATTGCAAAAGTTTGACCGACAGGAGTGCATATTACACTCTTGTCGGTCACAATGTGTCATTCAGGGAGACATTGCCACTGCATGTCTCCCAGATGGACACTGTTGCATTCATAACTGTGATGCAAAAGTTTGACCGACAAGGTGTAATATGCACTCCTGTCGGTCACAATGTGTCATTCAGGGAGACATTGCCACTGCATGTCTCAGAATGAGACAATTTGTTGCAATCAGAATGTGATTGCAAAAGTTTGACCGACAAGAGTGTAATATGCACTCCTGTCGGTCACAATGTGTCATTCAGGGAGACATTGCCACTGCATGTCTCCCAGATGGCACACTGTTCCGCAATCAGAACTTGATGCAAAAGTTTGACCGACAAGGTGTAATATGCACTCCTGTCGGTCACAATGTGTCATTCAGGGAGACATTGCCACTGCATGTCTCCAGAATGAGACAATTTGTTGCAATCAGAATGTGATTGCAAAAGTTTGACCGACAAGAGTGTAATATGCACTCCTGTCGGTCACAATGTGTCATTCAGGGAGACATTGCCACTGCATGTCTCCAGAATGAGACAATTTGTTGCAATCAGAATGTGATTGCAAAAGTTTGACCGACAAGAGTGTAATATGCACTCCTGTCGGTCACAATGTGTCATTCAGGGAGACATTGCCACTGCATGTCTCCCAGAATGGACAATGTTCCGCAATCAGAATGATGCGTTTGACCGACAAGGTGTAATATGCACTCCTGTCGGTCACAATGTGTCATTCAGGGAGACATTGCCACTGCATGTCTCTCAGAATGAGACAATTTGTTGCAATCAGAATGTGATTGCAAAAGTTTGACCGACAAGAGTGTAATATGCACTCCTGTCGGTCACAATGTGTCATTCAGGGAGACATTGCCACTGCATGTCTCTCAGAATGAGACAATTTGTTGCAATCAGAATGTGATTGCAAAAGTTTGACCGACAAGAGTGTAATATGCACTCCTGTCGGTCACAATGTGTCATTCAGGGAGACATTGCCACTGCATGTCTCCCAGAATGAGACAATGTTGCAATCATAACTTGATTGCAAAAGTTTGACCGACAAGGGTGTAATATGCACTCCTGTCGGTCACAATGTGTCATTCAGGGAGACATTGCCACTGCATGTCTCTCAGAATGAGACAATTTGTTGCAATCAGAATGTGATTGCAAAAGTTTGACCGACAAGAGTGTAATATGCACTCCTGTCGGTCACAATGTGTCATTCAGGGAGACATTGCCACTGCATGTCTCCAGAATGAGACAATTTGTTGCAATCAGAATGTGATTGCAAAAGTTTGACCGACAAGAGTGTAATATGCACTCTTGTTTTAATAAATTTTAAATACTATATAAGTATCTTTACATACAATCTTTACATTATATTTTTTCCTAATTAATATTTATTTCATATTTTTTTGTGCTTTATCTAACTTATAGCATGTACTGAACTATTTTACAGACTCTACTGAGCTATCTCAACATATAAACCAGTGAAAAAAACACATATATACTCACTTCATATTCTGATCTCATGCCATATTATCGCAAAAACTATATTTATACACCACACCTCATAAAACATCATTTTAGCCCTATCTAAGCGTTCAAAACCTATTTTTCCGCGTAATCTGATTCTTCAGGATCCGCTGATTCGATTTCTGCCGTCAGATCGCGAAAATATGCATTACATAACAAGATATACACAAATTACTAAACTTAATATTTTCCTTAAAATTTCTCTTGAAGTTCATACACAAACAACATAATTTTTCAAAATCCAATTTTTTCAAAAAATGTATGCATTCAAAAGTTCAGATTATATCTAGTCATTATCCATTATTAATTTTGAATTTGATTTTTGAGATATTCATTTTATTATACGTATTACTCAGAAAATTAAATGTATTTGTGAGGGAAAACGGAGAAGATAATAAATATTGTCATATAGAGGAATAAGCAATTTTAAGGAAAATATTAAGTTTAGTAATTTGTGTATATCTTGTTATGTAATGCATATTTTCGCGATCTGACGGCAGAAATCGAATCAGCGGATCCTGAAGAATCAGATTACGCGGGAAAAATAGGTTTTGAACGCTTAGATAGGGCTAAAATGATGTTTTATGAGGTGTGGTGTATAAATATAGTTTTTGCGATAATATGGCATGAGATCAGAATATGAAGTGAGTATATATGTGTTTTTTTTCACTGGTTTATATGTTGAGATAGCTCAGTAGAGTCTGTAAAATAGTTCAGTACATGCTATAAGTTAGATAAAGCACAAAAAAATATGAAATAAATATTAATTAGGAAAAAATATAATGTAAAGATTGTATGTAAAGATACTTATATAGTATTTAAAATTTATTAAAACAAGAGTGCATATTACACTCTTGTCGGTCAAACTTTTGCAATCACATTCTGATTGCAACAAATTGTCTCATTCTGGGAGACATGCAGTGGCAATGTCTCCCGAATGACACATTGTGACCGACAGGAGTGCATATTACACTCTTGTCGGTCAAACTTTTGCAATCAATTCTGATGCAACAAATTGCTCTTCTGGAGACATGCAGTGGCAATGTCTCCCGAATGACACATTGTGACCGACAGGAGTGCATATTACACTCTTGTCGGTCAAACTTTTGCAATCACATTCTCATTATACAATCTCTTTATTTTCTTGCCTGTCCATACATATAATTAGTACATAAACAATATACCTTATTCACAAATCCCTTAAGCACAAATTTACCATATGATTTGTATTTATCTTTAAAAATCTTAATATTTTCAATAATTATTGAATTCTACATCTATTTAGTTTATCAAAACACTCAATGTTATAAAATCATATTAGTTTATATCATTTATCATCAGTTTTCATTTTACGCATGTAGTTTTTAAATCTCTATCAATTTTGAAATGAACAATATATTCACAATTATATGCAGTGTCAATAGATATCTTGTTGCCTATGAAATTAACAATTTTTTCAAATTATATTGATATTCTTCAAATTGTGAATTTGTTACATTTAATTACAAATATTGTCTTCTCCCTTATTTTGCATTTGACTTACATTAATAACCAAGCTTAATTTTAACAATTGATACCCAATTCAAAATGTCTTTCCAAAATTAGCCGAATTTCAAAAATTAACATGATACCACATTCTACATCAATTGGAATTAAGAATATTCCAAATTAAATAAAAAATATCAATCTTTTCAAAATTTATAATATTATCTTTTTTTAAACTGTTATTATATCATTATCATTCATAGCCTGACTTATCAAAATGAATTTCAATTCATATCGTTCAAATAAAGCATTACTTTGAAAGTTTGAATCATTACTCCGACATATTTTCCTATATAGTAAAATCACAACCGAGATTGATATATGCATAACATTTCTAGCCATTTGCATGTAGATATGTGAAATTTTAACTCTAATTTTAAAATATTATAATTTTTTTTATATATCATGTCATTATGTATTAAATCAATTCACCGGATCATATATATTAATATATCTGTAATTGAATAGACTAGGCCAATTACATTAGTTTGATATCTTGATAACTTTTTAGATTTAGATTTCAACCTCAGCAATATATACTACTATGTACCAGTAATATAATGTTATAATAATGGGTTTGGATCTTCATGTAGTGTGGTTTTACAAGCAAAATAAATTTCGTCTAATTGCACTATGAATGTCATTAGTAGACTACTAAAATCATATGGTAGATTCTCTAGTGCCTACATAAGTATATGGTATATGTCACAAAGAATGTCTCCAATCAGGGAGCTGTATTAATGAGCTTTTATAAAAATTTACGGGCGTGTCAGATTCCAATAACAAAAACTTTAGGGTAATAATGAGATATCTTATTAAACAGAAAAAATCCATACTATGGCCAACTCCTCTTAGCATTGCAGCTAAAATTATAATAAAGAAATAGTTGAACTTCTTATTTTACGTTGTATAAATGTCAATGAAAAAGGGAGAAGTGACAAAACCACTCTTCATTATGCATGACGTTTTAATTATAAAGAAATGGCCGAACTTCTTATTTTACATTGTGCAAATATCAAAGAAAAATAAAAAATCGGGAATACGCCTCTGCACTATGCAATAGAGCAAATTAGTAAAGAGTCAGCCAATATTCTTCTTTTACATGGTGCAAAAATAATACAATGTTCCATCTTCATCTTATGTGATTGTACAGATGTTGTAACCCTGATAATGATTGAATTTATTGGTAATCATAGATCTAATATCTACACCAGATATTAATCCGAAAAATCATAAAGAGAAAGCTAATATCACTTTTTTGAGTGGGATCACATCTGTGGGATATAACTCCAAAAGTGACACACCTAAAATTTTTATAAAGCATGTCAAATTCAGAGCAATCAAAAAATGAAAATTGGTGCATTTACAATGACCTTAAGCCAAATAAAGTATTCGAATACCCAGATCAAGTATCAAAAATTATTTGGGGCCTCAATTCCAATAATATTATACAAATATCTTCACAAATTATCGAATTTATAACAATACACAAAATAAATATCCAAATGGCACTTTATCTGATTGATGTATTTTCACAAATTCGTGTTAAAGAAATTAAATTATTTTCTGAACTTTATCAAAAGATATCAAACGAATTTTCATGCATCATCCATCCGAAAAATGAGAAATTAGCGACGCTTCTACATTATCAGGGTTTCAAATTTGAAAACTTCGAACCTGAAATAGAAGAAGAAATAATTCTGAATTTATATTCAACAAAATCTCCTTTATACTATATTGCATGGGATAAAGTTGATGATCTTAAATATAAATTCCCAAATCTTGATATTAATGCGCAATTATATAGTAAAATCACTCCACTTGATTGTTCAATTAAACATGGATCAGAATTATGTTTCAAATACTTGAAAAATTTAGGAGCTAAATACACAGATAACTCCGAAAAATACGCTGTTCAAGGCGGAAATAATAACATTTTTATGCAAATGATAGAAGATGGTAAAACATTTGATAAAATGATTGATACAGCATTGAATTATCATCACTATGAATTTGTTGAGTATCTTAAATCAAATTTAGGACAAACTTTTGATTCAATAGCAGAATGTATGCATTTCGGAAATTATGAAATTGCATCTTATTTACTTTCTAATGGAGAAGATATCAACAAAATTTATAATCTCTTTCTTTCCATATTTATCATTGTTTTATTACATTATCTTCCTTTTCATATTTAACATTGTTTTATCACATTCTCTTTCTTTTCATAATTATTGTTATTTTATGAAATTCTCTTTTTTTTCAAATTTATCATTATTTTATTGCATTCCCTTTCTTTTCATATTTATCATTGCTTTATTACATTATCTTTCATTTCATATTTGACATAGTTTAAAAGAATTATCTTTCTTTTCATATTTATCATTGTTTTATGAAATTCTCTCGATATTAATGAATGCCCTCTTAGTATTGCAATCAATGGGAATTCAATAGAAATAGTCCAATTCCTAGTTGAGCATGGTTCAGATGTTAACACGAAACTTATTCTCATCCTTTTCATATTTATCATTATATTATCATATTCTCTTACTTTTCATATTTATAACTATTTTATTACAATCTCTTTATTTTCATATTTATCATTGTTTTATAGAATTCTCTTTCTTTCCATATTTATCATTATTTTATGATGTTCTCTTTCATCCCATATTTAACATTGTTTTATTACATTATCTTTCTTTTGATGCTTATCATTGTTTTATCACATTCTCTTTCTTTTCATATTTATCATTGTATTATGGCATTTTCTTTCTTTTTATATTTATTATTATATTATGGTATTTTCTTTCTTTTTATATTTACCATTGTTTTATCATATTCTATTTCTGTTCATATTTTTTATTACTTTATCATATTCTGTTTCTTTTCATATTTATCATTGTTTTCTGGAATTCTCTTTCTTTTCACATTTATCATTGTTTTATCACATTATCTTTCTTTTCATATTTATCTTTCTTTTCATATTTATCTTTCTTTTATGAAATTCTCATTCTATTCATATTTATCATTGTTTTATTACATTATCTTTAATTTCATATTTATCTCTATTTTATGAAATTCTCATTCTTTTCATATTTATCATTGTTTTATGAAATTCTCTTTCTTTTTATGTTTATCATTTTTTAATGAATGCCCTCTTAGTATTGCAATCAATGAGAATTCAATAGAAATAGTTCAATTCCTAGTTGAGCATGGTTCAGATGTTAACACGAAACTTATTCTCATCCTTTTCATATTTATCATTATATTATCATATTCTCTTACTTTTCATATTTATAACTATTTTATTACAATCTCTTTATTTTCATATTTATCATTGTTTTATAGAATTCTCTTTCTTTCCATATTTATCTGAGCTTAATGAAATTCTCTTTCTTTTCATATTTATCATTGTTTTATGAAATTCTCATTTTTTTCAAATTTATCATTATTTTATCACATTCTCTTTCTTTTCATGTTTATCTTTGTTTTATCACATTCTCATTTTTTTCATATTTAACATTGTTTTATGAAATTCTCATTCTATTCATATTTATCATTGTTTTATTACATTATCTTTAATTTCATATTTATCAGTAGTAGGATATGACGGGTTTAGTGACTTTTTTTGTTACATCTATATATAGACGATGCATTAAAATATATTTATTTATAAATCATTAAAAAATTAACATTAATTTTAAAATAATTTATTTTTTTTATCTTTTATAAAAGAAGCTATATATAGATGATGTCAGATATTCCGCGATTAATTAAACATCATTTAAATCCTGAATGGGTTAAACTTCAATTTAAAAATGAAGATTGTGAATTATTAAATGAATATGAAAGCCAAAATAAGCTAATGAGGTATAAATATAATGATAAAGAATATTTAATTTCATGGAATCAATGGAGTCATAATCAAAGACCTCATAAACGAGAAGAAGAAATTGAAAATAATGAAATGGAAATCATTGATGACATTAAAGAGGATGAATTCATATAAAAATAAGAAGTCTGTTTGACCTTAAGAATGATTTATATATAAAAATAAAATAAACTTCTTACGAAAAATTAAAACTTAGTTATGTTTATTATTTTATTTTTTTATTTTGTATGAAATGAGCGTCAAAACTAACAACGTTAAAAAATTAGGATTCACAAACGAGGAAATAAAGGATATATTAGAGGAGGTGGTTATGAAGTTAATAAATATTATTTAAGAAATTGTAAAAAATTCGCGGAGTTATTAAATGATTTAGATTATGATGGAAAAATGAATAAAGATGATGTTATAAATTTCTTATATCCCACATCTGAAGAAGAAAAACCTAAAGAACCTGATGTTTTCCCTGAATATTATGAAGAACGGATTAAAGATGATGAATACAATGAAATTGAAAGACTGAAAAAAATAAGAGATGAAATAGATGAAAAAATTAAGGAATTAAGAGAAGTTGAAAAATATAATGAAAATGAAGTAGAGGGTTTAATGAATATCCCAGCTTCAGAATCAGAAGTACAGAAATCTCATGAAGAAAGATATAAAAATTATGTCTCAGAATCAACACAAAATTTATTAGATGGTGAAATAGACGAAACACTTTCAGAAGAAGGTACTAAATTTATACGTAAACATAAGTTACAATTTATTGATAATGAAGAATACCCTTGTATCTTATTTTCACCCCTCTCGATTCTGAGAAATTCAAAAAAGCTCTTAAAAACGTGACATATGCAACTAATACGATTAAGAAAGAAGATCATGATATTTACACAAATTATTATTTAAATAAATGCACAGGTGTTGATAAAGTTTTTGATTTATTAGATAAAATATCAAAAGAAACCATTGGAACATATAAAATTTTTGTGATTGCGGTTTCATTGTTGAAGATACTAATAATGTTTCATATGAAAGAACAGCACCGAAGGAAGACGAAGTTGAAAGGTCTATACCATTCGTTATTAAGAACATAAAAGATATGAAAACTTATAAACATTATATTTATTCATTTATTTCAGAAAAAATGGAAGCAACCCATAAAACATCTTCTCATCATTTTATAGCTATTCATACATTCCTTTTCAAAGTTGTGAAATTAAATAAGACAGGAATTAGATTTAATGTATCAGGGTACGCATTCTTGAGTAAATTAAAATGTATTCGTCACGTCGCAGATGATAAAAATTTATGTGTTCTTAATTCATTTTATGGGCTTTAAAAAATAAACTTTATTTTTATTTATTTTTTAATTTTTTATTCTTACATAAATGAACAAAAACGGAACAGCTAAAATGAATGATAATCAAATTAGAGCAGAAGGTAGAAGGTTATTTAAACGCTTCTATAACATTCCTGATGGTGTTAATCCTAAAACCCGTAGAAGCTATTTAAATGAAGCAATAGATGCATATGAAGGGTTTTGACATTTCATCAGAAAGTGAGAGATTAGCGAGAATGTTAAATGTTAATATTGATTTCTATTATTGTGATCCTCAACCAGAAGACGTGGACATAAATAAGGTAGACTTTCCATTAGTGGAATCAATAATGATAGATCCAGAATTTGAAACAGTAAATATTTTATTAACACAGAGTCCATGTGGAAAACTTCACGCTGACAGAATAACAGACGTTGAAGCACTCACCGGCTATAAAGTTTGTCCATATTGTAAAGAAGAAGTTTATTCTATCCGTGATGATCCAGAAAGGAAAAACCAAAGAAGATTTTTAAAGCATTGTGAGAAATGTAAAGAAAATAATGGAAGATTAATTCAAGACGTTCAATTGCAAAAGACCCAGCAACCATATGCACCACATATTACGAAACAGAAGATATATCAGTGGTTATTAGCTCACAATTTGCAGAAATATTATAAACCGACAAGATATTATATTACTTTTGACTTTGAAACATTAGAGACTAAAGAAGAATTACAACTTTCTGAGTGTGCAACTTTGAACGCTTACTTAAAACCATTCATGGTATCATCAACGGTTAAATTAAATGATAAAACATATACGAGGAATTTTTGCTTAACTTCGAGTGATTCTTTTATTTCTGATTGGATTGAGTTTTTATTTTCAACCTGTTCATTAGTTGTTGAATCAAATATGAGTCAATACAATGAATTATTGAAGTCGCAAACGGCGGGACTTTGTCCCATACATTAAATGAAAAACAGAAGGAAGCATTTAAAGAACTTCTAGATGAGGAATTCAATAAAGTGAATATCATAGGTTTTAATTCGGGAAAGTTTGATTTAAATTTAATTCTTCGTGATTTAAACACTGCAAAATGGAAAATAAAATCAATGCTGGGTTCATCTTCACAATTTAAGCAAATCATTGTAAAGAAAACAAACGTTCCATATGAATTGAGATTTATTGACATCAGAAATTATATAGCGGGTGGGACATTAGACCAATTCACTCAAGATTTCGGAAACAATAAATCACGTGTTAAATCCTTTTTCCCTTATCAATTCATCACGTGGGAAATTACGAAGAAGAATTATATAAAGAGGAACCATTCACGAAAGATTCATTTTATTCAGCATTAACCAAGAAACTATATCAGATAGTGATTATCAAATATATCTCAATGATGCTAAAAACTTTAAGAATAGATTAGAATATTTTATTCATTATTGCAATAAAGATGTTGAAATTATGATTGACCCAATTGATAAAATTATTGAAGAAACATTTGTTTATAAAATTGACACGCTTCATAATCTTTCTTTATCATCGAATGCTTCAATGATTCGTTACGCTTTAGCATATAAAGACTTTAATCCTAATGAAAAATATCCTGAGGAAGAGATAGAATCAAGTTTTGAATTAACGAAAAAGTATTGGAAATATAAAATTGAATCATATAAGAAACAAGATGAAAAAGCAGAAAGGGATACTAAAAATAATGTTTCAATGGATGATTTTCAATACTATCACGATTTAATCCTTTCATCTAAATGCAAAATGTGTGGTAAAGCGTTTACATATGCAAATAAACCAACATTGGATAGAATCGATAATGAAAAACCACATACCAAAGAAAATTGTCAGTTAATGTGTTGTTATTGCAATGTCGTAAAATCAAATAAAGATGAAGATGTTCAACGTTTAAGAATCAATTTAAGAAATTATGCATTAAAAAATAATTTACCAATGACTTTAGATTCAGTTGAA